TTTCGATTTGAAAAGCGCAAACTGTTTGGGGTCTACGGTGGTGTAATGTTCTTTGGTTCCAAAGTGAGAATCATGTTTTGGGTCTCAGATTGATGGCCTCAGGATCAGTGCACACAGCTGGATGCCGCTCAACAAACCTTGAGTGCCAACCTTGGAGATGGTCTTTCAGACGACCGTTCGTCATGACCGTACATCATCCTTGCGGATTTTACCGTGCACCAAGCTGCGAGAAAGTCTGACGTGTTTCTTGTGACGCCACCGTGACAGCACAGAAGAACTCTTGGTGACTGTTTGCAGCCCAGTGTCCCCAGTGTCGGCCTGCCCTTTAGGCCCTTTAGGCTACTGATATACATATATATATATATAGATAGATAGATAGATAGATTTAGATGGAGATGGCACAACCCATCTCTGCCCTCGCTCTTGTTGAGACACGAGGGATACTGCAGGATGTTGGTTGTTGAACATCCAAGGAGTTTGATTTGCATATTGAGTGAGCAGAGGAACGCGACATTCGGATGCTCAGGCGCCGAAGTTGAACGCCTGCGCCGCACGAACGATGCCCTTTGTCAACAGGCAGCGAGTGCATGGTTAGTTGTCAGGTGTTTGCCAAGAAATCCCTGTGGATCAGTCTCAATAGAAAGCCTCAGAGCCTCCAGAGATCTCTGTGATGAATTCACGAAATCCCTGCAAGAATAGCCCAGTTACCAATGTATTTTAAATGTAACTGTTTGTATTTTGTCGTACCAGTGCTTCTGGATGCACAACAGGTTTTGGGTCCTGATGGAGAGGCTGGAGGGACACTGGTGGCTCAATCTTGTTTCCGAATCAAGAAAAGAACAAACATGGAGTTCAACAGAATAGGCGAGAAAACCAACCTTTGCCAATCTTGTGTATGTTCAACCTTTGGCCATAAATTGATCTTTTGCATTGTTTTGAATCATCTGATGTTGGGTACATCAGCTGCCCTTCTCTTCGTTCGTTGTCCTGTTCGAGCAGTAAACACAGCTCCATGCTGAGGGTCCTTTCGCTGGAGCCCTCCAACAGGTGACGAGCTCGGGTTGAGTGATTCATTGAGTGCTATGGCAATCTCAAGCTGAGCAAGCTAGGCACTTGATTCAGAAGGCACTTTTCGGTGTTTCTGAAAGAAATAAGGCTAACTGAAGTGATGAGGATCCAGTTTTTCAGTTGACTCTGTGATGCCACATGGTGAGCAACTTCCTCGTCTGGGACATCTTACAACGGCAGGTCTCAGTGTTGGACGGTGAAGAGGATCAGTTGATCCGAGACGAAATTGGCAGACTTGTGCTCCCACACGACCGTCCCAAGAGTTTTTTTGCAGATTCTGAGTGTTAAAAGGAACACCACGTGTAGCGGATGTGATCTTTTGACCCACTGTCAATGAGAGGCTTTACTTGTGATTTGCTTAATCTTGTTTACCATATTAAGTTATGTGCCTAAAGCTTTTGTGGAACAAGGCTGTCTTTCGTGGGATGACGACATGCCTGTTGCACTCAGTGGTTTCGGCTCCAAACTCCGAGCCTCGGCGCGCCCGCAGTGCCGATTTTCAGCATGTTTTGCTCAGCTGGAAGCGCCAAACGCCACGGATCTCAAAGGTTCGACTTGGAGACAGGGGCTGCTTTGCTTCTGCAGTATCAAGAACATGGAGAATCGGTCTATCAAGCGATGCAGTGGGTTGCCTCACAGAGAGAGGCCGCGACTTTCGCGCATGTCACTTGGTCGCCGACCCTGACCGCGGAACGCGACGGTACGAGCCGTTCGGAGCGCGATGGTATGAGCCGTTCAACGTTTCCTCCACCTCGGTGATGACTGAAAGCACTATTTCGGCTGTTTCGGCTGCGAAGCCAACACCAAAGTTGTGAGGCACTTTCGCAGCGAAGTTGTGAGTTAGTCGACGTAACAGGATCAACAGGATCCAGGAACTCTCGCCGAAATGCATGTAGCAACTTTAAGCTGGTTTCTCAATATGCGAGCCACTACATAACCATACAGAGAAATTTTCGTCACAGCTTGACTGACCAATAATCTTCTTTGGCTTGCTGGTAATTTGGGTGGGCACAAATGTTGAGACACACCAGATTCATTCTTAGATGCTTTGGATCAAAAACTGATTCCAAAGTTTGATGCGAATCGTCTACACGCACTGAAATTGAGCAGAAACAGCCAGGCAGCACGTGTGGCAGTTCAACGATCCATAGACATATCATATCAACATGCGCTCCTCAAGGGTAGAACCATGGACAGTGGGTGTCGTGAGGTACGAGGCCGGCTGCTGCTCACTACCCAAGCAGGCAGTGTCAAGGTGCCTTTGGCATGTAGACTTCGAGGGACTTGCACAAAGAACACATGCAGGTGCCGCAGGTGCGTGGCACAGTTCTGAGTGCGAAGAGAAGAATATGGCACGTTTCTCCACTGTGACACGATGTTTCTCTTCATCGTCCATGGGGCGACGGGTTCAGCGGCGGTGGCGAGCGGGGATCCGAGCACAGGGTGATGCAGCGGCCTTGGCACTGCGGCTGCAACAGCTTTTGGCGGAGCGCGAGGAGGCCTGCAGGGTTGTCCTCGCCGACTGGTCTTTGAAACATTCAGAAGCGGTTTCTTTGGGATTTGCTATAGGCTTAAATCCATTTAAATGCTTATCATGGTGAACTTGATGGAGCTTAATTGCCGCTTCAGCCTTTAGCCACCAATCATCGAATTGTCTGTGCCTGACCACGACCAGCCCGGGCGTTTCACCCCGCCTGGCGCAACCCGGCATGGCTGGGCCTGGGATCCCATCCAATCCCCCCGCCAAGCAGGTCTCGTTTTGGCCCATTTTCTCATTCACTTCATACGCCACCACAGTTTGCTCCACACCACGGTTTGGTCAAATTCTGCTTTGTAGAGTTTAGAAAGACATCGTCTATAATCTATATAATTACAGGAGAGGAACACAAAGTGTAAGCTTAAGCAAAAGTCCTTTGCTGGTGCCTGGTGAACCAATTTTGCCCAGCCCACATATCATCACATCTCCTCGATTTCACTATGAACGACGAGATCAAAAGGAAAACCATTGACCAATGGGATCTCACTTGAGCACAGGCCTTCTGGGTGGAGCGACAACGTCTCTCTGACCACATCACTTCCTTGGAAAGGACGCACGGGACCGGTCGCTGCTTGGCGGTCACCGTCCGTCGGGACCGGCGGCCGCGGCGGTTCGGTCTGCGGACGTTGGCCGAGGCACCAGCAACCTGCTCCGCCACTACGAATCGGCAGTGAGGGCAGGAACAGAGCTGGAGACTCATTGCTATCAGCATCGGGTAGCTTCAATAGGGGATGAATTTATTAAAACGAGGAGGCGTGTCTGGTCCACAGGGTCTTCTCATCTACTGCTGAACATGGAGGTCTTGGCAAAGTCTTCCTGTTATGAGATGAGGTAGTAGTGAACGGTGAGGTAGTCGCTTCGGAACGCAGAAAAACGATCGCTTCGGAACGCGTGTCATCGCTAGTAGGTTGGAAGCCATCGCTACTACTATGGAGGCCATCGCTAGTAGATTGGAGGCCACCGTAACCACTAGCAAATGAATGAAGGATGCAGAGCATTTGTGTTACATGGTACTGTGGAAGCAATTAGCAAACAGAGATCATCATGTAGATGAACGTCCAGACAGACGCTATTAACACCCCCCACCCGCCCCATCCCCCCCACCCCACCCCATCCTTCATCTTTAAACCCTCCCCATCCGTGTCTGTGTGTGTTCTAAAGTGACCCCAAAAACCAGGTGTGTTGTGTTCCAAAGTGATCTCGCTTTTTATTAACCCTTCCATGGTTTTGGGTTGTTTTGTGTTCCAAAGTGACACATCTTTTGTGTTCCAAAGTGAACTAAAACCTAGTGAACTAGAACTTGTGTTCCAAAGTGACTCTCCCACCGTAGTGGTCCCACCATTTCTTCCAATGTGGGCCACAACATTTTGTTTCTGGTTTCACGCTCTCAATCATTCTCAATCTATATACAACACGGGTGGCGCCGTTTTCCCGCATTCTTTTGCCAAGGCCTGCCTCTGGTGCTGGCTTGGTCTCATGCCTAGAACAGATCAGGTGTTTTTTCCATGAGGGTCCCAGAGCTTCAGATCGACCGTCCCAGTAAAATCGAGCCATGGAGGGTTGCTCAAACCTTCTCAGAGTCCCAGTTCCCTCCAGGTCACTGGTGGCTTACGGCGATTACGCCAAACAATTGGCGCGTAGCTGCGCGTGAATGAATGCCGGCTCCATGCCACCTGGAAGAGAGCAGTTTTCCTATCCTCGAAGAGTTTCCAACCTAACGTAGCAGTTTTGAAGAAGAATGCATCAATCGACTCTCAAAAGTGTAGTGTAGTCGTCAAGATTCAGGCATAAGACAGCTTGCCTGACTCATTTCCATCTCACTCAAAGACCATTCAAAGCTTTTGAGTGAACAGCGAGAAAACTCACCACTTGACACAATTCAACACGCTTTCAAGTTTCCAAGCGATGTGGTGAGCAAGTTTGCTTTGGAATCATTAAGACATTCGAACGGTCGTTTTCATCGCCTCGGAGAAGCTGCAGCTCGGTTTTTGGGTGTCAGCTGTGGGTGTCTTCGTATTTGAGAAGAGTGTCTACCAATTTTTCGGACGTGGCGTGAAGAAATTGGTAGGGCTTTCGTTTGAGAACGGAGACCAACACCAGGACGAAGTCTTCGTCCCGTGCTTCCGCTCTCGGCCGAACCCCGCGCAGCGTCGTTTCAACGGTCGTTTCACAGTGGGATGTGGGGAGTCAACGAGGTAGTCGTTGTAGTCCTCTCTTAAGAGCTGCACTAGTAAACAACGCTCAGACAAGTCAAACTGCGAGTTTTCTGGTCTTTGGGGGGTCGCCTGCATACTCTCCGATCCTAGTCCCTACCTGTTGTTTGGGGAAGTGTTTGAGCGAGTATCGCCGCGTCGCCAACGTGAGTATCGCCATGGTCGGCTTGGGGCGAGCGACAACCCGAGTGGCCACCCTGGTGATTGTGACAGCTTCACCCGATTGGATGGCCGAGCACTTCGAGATACTTCAACATCGCACACTGCTGGAGATCACTTTGCCTGGATCACACAACAGTGGCAATTACCAAGGAGGTTTGCATGCGGATTTGCTGCATGTCATAATTGGTGGATTCGGGTGGGTTTCGACCGAACACCGGGCGAGTGCTGCGAAGTCGGGAAGGTGTGGAAGAGATGGGACAGGAAAAAGCAGAGGCTGCAAGGTTGGCCGCGTCTAGCCTTCTCGGTGTGTAGATGTGTAGTATGTTCCAAACTCACCCTGCCGAACGAACGTTGCTTCGACCCCAAGGGTGCTTAAGTGTGCTTGCACGAGAAGCGCAGTAAGCGCAGTGTCTAGGAGTGCCGAGGCTTTGCGAAAGCGACTACAAGTACGGCGAGTACTTGGGAAGTGCAAGTTCTCATTTGTTGCAAGAGTCTGGAAGGCCACTGTTGAGCCAGGCAGAGTTTGATCGGAGCATCTTGGATGGAACAGCCCTGTGTCTTTCCTTTTGAAAGGTCTCGCGTCACACTTCTTTGGAAGAAGTAGGCCCGTTCGTATCTACCTATCGAATATTATCGAATGTACCTTTGGATCCCACTGTAATTCTTAATAGTAATAAGTTGATTGCAACAGACTTTGGATTCTCGGCGCCCTTGGGAGCAGTTCTTTGATTTCTGGCTGAAACGAGTCAACATGCTCGGCCACTTGGCCCAGGAATGATTCCGTGGAACATCAACCACTTTCGACCCATCAATGCACAGCTGTCCGAGGGCGTTCGATTTCTTCATTTGAAGATCTGCAACTTCGGAGCTCCAGGCTTGCCTGGACAGTGGGGACAGATGTATTTTGTGAATTTTTCCGGGGGGGGTTGCGCTGAGTCTTACTAAAGTTTACTTTGAAGGACTGATTCTCTCCGGCACTTCTTCTCCTCTGACAGGTGCACCGACCATGGATCTGGGCACCGTGCACTTTCAACACCGAGGCTATACCACCCGGGAGACAGCCACCTGACTCAGCAGTTGTGCCGCTGTTCTCTGGACGTTGCAAGAATCTTCAACTCCGCCACTAACTGCCAGAGTTGGAGCAACAACTTCAGGGAGGAAGGGCGGAGCGCTATTTTTCTAGAGTTTTGTGAGCACCAAGCCACCCCTCTTTCACCCCCAAGGTCGCGTAAGGTCGCCACGTTTGGAAGGTCGCTGGGCGGCGGAGATACCGGGTCGGATCCGGGTCGGTCTCAGGTGGCGTCGACGCTCCAGGAACTGCGCGCCTTCCTGGATGCGCATCCGAAGGAGATCGTGACTCAGCGAGTTATGGGGTGATGATGGGTGGCCTGGGTGGCCGAAGGCGGCAGATGTGACTCTTTCTTCCCCGGCACTTCTGCTACTTGCTACGTACAAATGTGGCATCATGTGCACAATTGATACATGCTGATTTCTCCTGTTCTGATTGATACATGCACACCCTAGTTCGCAGCCCCCAACTGTCAAACCGATGTTTCGAGCGAATTTGGAAGGTAATTCTGGGCTTCAACAACTTACACAACCGCGCCTCGAAGTCCTTCGGAGAAATGGATATTGCCGCACTGGCTGTTGCCCTGGAGACTTCCATAGGCGGGCATGGTGGAAAAGCCTCAAAGGCGGAGGTCTTCTGATTTCCGTTTGAAGGTACCCTCCCTGCCCTCCCTGGTTTTGACATTTTCACTGGAGTTTACCCCCTGTTTGTAGAGGACATTTTTCAGGTCTTTCCTTCCCGACGTTTTGTGCACAAAGAAATCTCATCATCAGGTCCTGAGAATCTCATCAGTCGGGAGCAGCTCTACAGGCAAACGCTGCGGGAACTGGTCGAAGCGAACCGACGAATTGCAGCAGCTTGAAAGAGATTGAGAGCTTGGAGACCTAAACATCCTAAAACGCAACCTTCTGATAAAGGTTCATTCTTGAAAAAGATCCTGTACCTCAAATGCTCATTGAACCACTGTTGCGCAGCGCAGCGTAAAGGACCCATTCTTTTCCATGTGCAGGCAGCAGCCACGTACCTCGCAGAGCTAATTTTGACAGCCCAGGTCTTCTTGAAAGGTGCTCCGCAAGACCTTGGCCATATAATACCCAGTGAGCTTGCGCTAGAAGAGAACTGGTCGCCGGTCATGGCCAGCGGTGACTTGACTGGAGCAAAAGCCTGGCTGCTGAAAGACCTGAAGACCTCAGCGGTGCAACGAGACCGGTTCTATGTCATGCAGGCCAATCCCAACAATGCTGAGGAAAAGATGTACGAACGCATGAATGCAAACAGCAGTCCTGCATCCAACTTGGATTTCTTGGAGAAGTTCTTGCAAGACTTGCCCGCTTTAATACTTCAAGCAGCGCATGAAGAACCGCGTATCCAAATCAACGTGATTGACAGTGATTTTCTGAACATCAGCAACCCCTATGCAACTGCTATGGAGCTGATGATGCCGACAAGGGCCCTGACTGAGGGGTCTACAGGCCTTACAGGCCTTGGTTTCTGGATTCTTGGCCTTTTAAGCCTGTGTGGCTTGCTGGCATGCACGGCTTTCTTGGCTCGCAGGAGTCGGTCAAACGGCTACGATCATCGCTTTGCCAATGATCTTTAGAGATGCGACGATCGGAGAAGTGTGTAGGTAGTTGGGCTCCCCTGCAGCCTGCAGCAAAGGGCTGGCCAAAACATATGGTTTCAATGCCACGTTGCAGATGCAAGATTTGAGCGGATAACTTCCTTTCTTACCGCCCTGAGCCGCGGCATTTGCTGCTGCTAGGCAACCAGTCTTTGTGGGCAAAGATCACATATATAAGATTACTGTATAGCTTGATTTTTTGCCTGATCTTGTGCAAGTAATATTCACTTCTTCTTTGACCGCTGCGATTGGGCTCAGTAAACTACAGTAGCACAGGGGGATTACAGTTCAATCCAGGAGCCAAGCTTGCAGCAAGAGCATCTCCTGTCCGAGAGCTTACCTGTCGGCTCCTGTCCTGCATCGCTTGCTACAGTGACCAGGACCAATCCTTCCATGGCGCTGGTCACCTCCTCAGCGGTGTCTTCGCCTCTCGCGGCCTCTCGCGGCCTCTCGCGACGCCCGGTGACCGTTTCTTGGGAAGCTCCGTTCGTAGCGTCCGATCGCTCCTAGTAGTACGGCCAGGGGCCCCGCTCGCAGCTTCTTGTTCCTAGAATACCGATGCCAGGAGCCCCGTTCGTAGCGTCCTAGCGTCCCCGCTCAAGGCACCTGCTTTTGTCTCCGCCGGTGGGCCGATTCAGCGCCCTGCGCGGGACCTCGAGACGCACGGCGGCGCCGCATCCATCGCATCGCGCGTCGCCGCATCGCGCGTCCTGAGGCAGTGGAACGACCCTCCGTCGCGGCGAAGTTCTCAGAGACCCCACTGGTCAGTCCATGCCCTGCATTCACCTTGCTCCCACCCAAAGCAGGATGTGTCTAAAGAAGCCTGTCCAAGTTCGGAAGAGTCCTCACACAATCCGAGATGTGTACTGTCCAAGGTTTCGACTCCTGAACTGGCCTCGAGCCCTGGCAGTCAGGCAGTGCTGGAAGTGCAGCTGTTTCCGCTGTTTCGGATGGGGAAGGAAGCTGTTGATGTTCCAAAGCTGGATCACACAGTGCGAGATGTTGGAGATAGATAGACGGATTGTTGTGAGTCCCAAGAAAGTCCCACCGAATTGGCAGGCTTCAAAAGCTCTTGCTGCCGGGTCATTGGCTTTGGTGCTGGGCCAGGAACATAGATATTGGGATAAGGAAGAAACCGAGGAACATTTGTTCAGGCTTGTCTAGCAGTAGTTTATGAGGTTGGACAAGACAGAGATGTGGGATGCGCCTCTTGAACTCTTGTTTACACTTTCTGAATGTTAGATTAAATTTGGGTATTCATCCATTTACCAGCCCTTAGGAAAAGGACTCGTTGATGTAGAACTTGGTTTTTGTTGCCATGCCACCAGGATGAAATGAACGATTCGTTGGTAGTTAGTTCCGCCAACGAATAAGGCAGTCGCGCAAAGCCACGCCAGTCCCGCAAGGCCTGGCAGCATCATGCAACCCCTTTAGACATCACGATGCGCAACAGACGTCACGATAGTCACTAGAATTTATGTCCATCTCCCAACAGTATAGCACACATGTTCGCTAGTAGTAACAAGTGCCACGCTACTAGTAACAAGTGCCAGACTAGTAGTAACAAGAAGCTACTAGAAACAAGAAGCTATTAGAAACAAGTGCCTTACTAGTAGTAACAGGTGCCATACTAGTAGTAGCAAGAAGCTAGTAGTAACAAGATCCAATCGATGCGTGGACGCAGGGCCTGCGTGTGGTTCCAACCCGCACGGTGAGAAATGCGGCTCCACCAGGTGGGTGAACAGGGTTTGGTACTGGAGCTTGAGGATGCAGATCTTGAGCCATACTCATCTGGTGGAAGATATCACTGGCTTGACTGGGTTTGCATTTAAAACTTTTTAGCAGATCTTCGCAGACCAGGCGTCTACTGCGAATCTGCGGAGAAATGCATTCGCCGAAAGACCCGCACGGCCGGGGCCTCGAAGTGGCGGACGGACGGACCGCTAGCGGCTAGCGGGCGCCCGGCCAGGCCGGACCGTGCTTTCTTGCTTTGGACAGCATTGCATTTGGCACTTCACTTCTACAGGTGTTTGTTTTATGGCGATTCGTCTGCCACAAAGCATCATAAGCATCCCATTGAGCACCAGAAGGATGAACAAAAGCAACCGATGGAACCGGGGAAGGTGATTTCACTCACTCACCGACGAAGGTGACTGATCTTTATGGCTTTTCAGGACGAATCGGAACCCAAAAATGGACGATAGCCAAAGCGCACAACACACACACACTATGATTCTTTGCTTGCTACATACACACACACACACTATGTATGTATAATTTATGTAATCCCAGTTTCCTTTTGGCTAGGTGCCAGTACCGCAAACATCCTCAATCCCCCAAGAAGACGACCTCAGGCCGATGACCCCCGTGCCCCATAAGGGCATCGCATCGCTACTAGTAACACGGGCATTGCTACTAGTTACTAGTAGCCCTTGTTACTAGTAGCGATGCACATGTTTTAGTAGCTGTTTGCTACTAAGAAGCTTCAAAGTCACACCAAAAAGCTTCCTGTTACTAGTAGCTTCAAAGACCTACTAGTAGCTTCTTGTTCCTAGTAGCGATTCCACCAAGGTCTATGTGGGCGAAGTCCCGGTGGGCTCCGAGCATCCGATTGCCACGCAGACCATGTCGAGACCCTCAGCGGTTGCTCCGCGCGGCGTGCGACGTGGAGCGATTTCCCATGTCGAGGACCACCACCCTGACCAGTGACGTGGATGGAACGGTCGAACAGGCCGAGCCCTGAGCTGTTGGTGGTCCGGTCCGTAGGAGCTAGCAGCAGACCAGCAGAGTCAATGAACAGAAAAAGCAGAATTCCGAAGCTTGTTCACACCACATGGACCGTAGGTTTGGATGTTTGAGAGGCTTTGACAAACGGAAAAAGACAAGTTGCACTGGCTGGCTCTGAGACCAAATGGCTCAGATTACAGCACCGGGACCATTCTCCACGCAGAATCACAGATCACTCAGTTGACATACTGAGATCATGAAGTGTGCAGAGATGGGCATTGACATTGCCGATGGCTTAACCGATTCCAAGTTGAACAATTGCAAGAAGGACTTGGCCATTTTGACAAGACTTGGCGTTTGCCATGTTCTCCAAGCTAAACCATCTTCGCTTCACCCTTGTGTTCTTTGACTTTTGAGGTGCGTGTGACGGTTCAGGGCATGCCAGCTGCTGAGAATTTCGACCAATCGACCGTTGGCACGAAATCGGTCAGCTCGGTCGAGCTCCAAACTGCAGGACGGAAGCGAAAGCTTGCGAACATATCAAGAAGAAGCTCCTTGAGAAAGGTGATCCTGGCTGGTTGAGTCTATTTTTTCACATGCAGCTGGTAGGAGGCCCATGGTTTGGCCACCTGATCCTCTTTTGCTGTATCAAATCAATCATATTTGGGGTGGACGGCTTGAATACGCAGGTTGCAAGACGCCCATCGTGGCTGACATCCACTTCACGCCAAAGGTGGCCTTGGTTTGCGCCGATTTCGTGGACAAGGCCGGACATATTTAGCTAATTACACCATATGACAACATTATATATTTACTTCACTAGTTATAGTTCCCGGGATAGCGAAAGCAACCTGAGGTTCTAACTTCAAGAAAAGGAAAAGGTACCTGTTTGCACTTTTTGGAGCCTGCGTGCTGGTGCCGCGACAGGGTGCCGCTGCAGTTGTGTGTTGCTGTGTGCACTTTGGAGCTTGGATGCAGGGTGCCGCTGCTAGATGTCTATGGCAGTGTGGGCTTTTGAGCCTGGGTGTTGATGCCGCTGCAGGTGGCCGCGAGATGTGTATGGCAGTGAGCGATTTCGGTGCGTGAATGCTTGCTGCTGCAGGGTGCCGGTGCGGGGGTTCAATGCAAGGTAGTGCTGCAAGATGCATTTATGCCGTGTGCGCTTTGGAGGTTGGGTGCTGGTGCTGGTGTCGCTGCAGGGCGGGTATGTCACAAGATTCAAGACACACGTGCCTTTTGCTATCTGGCGTCTATGCCGGCGCAAGATGGCGCAACTCACTCTATATTTTTGGAATCAAGCTATTGATTCTTCTTGATTCCCTGTAATTTGCGGCGACCCCTGCTCCAGGTGCGGGTCAATCCTGGCAATTTTGCCGATGGTCATGGCCTCAACTCGGGCGTGAGCAGCTCACAACCATGACTGGCTGATGACTCAACTCAGGCCGCAAGTCCTTTGACACCATTTCCGAGTTGACTGAGGAGGACAACTGGAATGTCATGTCATTTCAAGTTGTTTCTTTATGTTTCTTTGTAGCCAAGCTGGAAGTGCTTCGACAAAGCTGACTCCGTGAACGTGCAGGATGTGAAGGAAGCCCAAGAAGCCATTGAAGAAGCTTTGACTCCACTCGTATTGCTCTTGGTGATTGGAAGTCACAAGTAGTGCACTTCTTGGCACCAAATTGCACCAAAGATGTCGACTGAGGTGTTGAAGCTCAAGGAGCAAGGCAAAGCAATGCGCATTGGCCCCGCGACCTAGGATTCAGAAAGATGTTTGAAACCTGCAGCTGCTCCACCAGCTTGTCAATTAGTGACGACATCCATTTAATCCAACATCCAACAAGCTTTACATAAAGATACATAGACTTGGAGTCTTCAATTATTCTCATTGAATTTGCTTCTTTGGCTTTGCGATGAAGATGACTAAGGTGTGAATCATGGCTCCCTGGCTGAGCGTATCCTTTTCCAGTATGGCGATTCGTCCGGCACCTGTCCATGTCGTTTCATGTCGTTTCATGTGGTTCCGTCGCCCCTTGCGTGAACCTCTGCAGAGCTTCATCGACCAATCGTCGGGTTTTGGGGTTGTGAGGCCGGAAGGCATGGTGGCTTCAGCCATCGAGTTCGGCGAGATCTGCCGGAAGCACGACTACCATGATTTCATTTTCAGTGGCAACCTGAGCCTCGCGATGCCAGGACGAGATGTTTGGGCGAGAAAAGCAAGTGTGGGAAGGGAATTGAATCAACCCTGGAAATGTGGATTCATGTGGGAGAGTCAACATTTCCAATGCTTGGGGTTATTTTGGGATGGGTGTTGGCGCATGGCAGGCTGCTTGAGCCGATTGACAACCTCATAATATCCTTTGTATCAAAGGTGGAATGACCCAACTGAGAAACAGAACAAAGAACAAGAGATGTTTCTTGAGTCTCCCTTTTGTAGGTTCAGACACTTGCCCCCCTACTTCAATCCCCTTCTCCAAAAAAGAACACCAACGGCAGGAAACGGCTGTGTCAACGGCTTGGCCAAGGCATGAAGTCTTCGAACCCACAGGTCATGGTCAGGATCCGAGTCACCCTGGTGCCGCGTGATCCACTGGATCGAACAGACCCGTCTCCGGCCCTTTGGGTCGTCCGAAGCAGTTGTTGTCTTGATCCATCCTTTTGGCAATCCCCATCAGTGGCGACCGGAAATGAAGTGAAATGAGGGGTTCTGAGACTGAAGCAGCATACTTGTGAGACTTTTTGTTGGTTGCAAGACTGAAATCTTGGTATCGATCCTGAGACGAGGTGAACGCGTACAGGCAGCTGGCAAGGGAGATGTACAAGCTGGGCTGGGACCGCTCTTCCCGCGCCAGCGGGCCTTGGGCTTTTGGGGTCAGATTGCAACGTTTCCCGCTGTTGCTGACCTTTCCAAGTTGCTACTCTCCTCGTTTTGTTGTGCTTCCCTGAGCCTGGGAGTACTACACTTTTAGCCACACTACACTTTTAGCGACAGACCTGTGAACATGTTCGATGATCTTTCTATTTCATTCGTTTTCCAGTCCTTTTCAAAGGGATTGGCCAGAAACATGTTCCAAATTCTCTGACCCTGTATGACTCTGCGGCCCCAATCGAAACCTACACATCTCTGGCATGCTCTGAACATCTCTGAACATCTCGGAACCACGATTGCAAAAGGACTCAAGAAAGCACCCGAGGCTATCCCTGGACGAAAGCAGGCACTCCCCACAGCTGGTGATTGCAGGACTATCCCTTGCACTTGGGTGTCACAGAAGCCGGAGGTGGTGCTGACGGACCGGGCCTCAGAGCCGCGACGAGACGAGGACGAGACACAGGCGCTCTCAGAGGGACTGGCCATGTCCACCGAGGACGCATTAAGTCGGCCGTTGGCATCGGAGCGTTGCTGTTGGATGGCCTGGGTAGGGAGCCTCAGAGGTTCTGGAGCACTAGAGGTCTTCATCTGGGCGATGGGAACCAAAAAGGCCCAAGCCCAGTACAGGTTTATATCCCTGGCACTGTTTCATAATTCTTCTGAAATGTTGGGAGGTTAACAAACCCATGTCCACCAGTTTTGTCTCATAATTACATACCTAAATCACTTTCATGGGAGGACCATAATACAGTGGCAATGGAAGAAGAGCTTTATCAATTCCTCTTTGACACGACCAGTGACCACTGACTAAGTCGGGGCCCCATCTCTATGATTTAAATCTGAGCACCTACACCAAACATGTGTCTTATAGAAACATTTGTCCTGGGTCCATAGCACTCCCTTCCTGCCCTCAAGATTCAACACCCCAAATTGCAGAATTGGAGTCCCAAGAATGTACTACATGATGAACCACCACGAGCCGCACCAGCGAATGAGAGCCGCAGGGTGTTTCTCTCTCTCCGCAAAACGGCCATTGTCTGGTCAGTCTGGTCATCTCCATCGGTACTCGCCGTCGACCGTGTTCATCCCTCGCAGTACTCGCCGTCGTCCAGGCGACACCATCCGCGTGTCCCTCACAGAGGATCCTGAGTTTGAGGCCAAGCCATGCATCGCTCTCCGAGGCCGGTGTCCGGACATGGTTTTTTCATGTTTTTTCTTCGTGGGTTTGGTTCACTGGTGACGACGACTCCGCGGTTTCGGTGAACAAGCAGCACCATGGCAGTGGGCTGCAGGTGCGGCCGAGGAGGCACTTAGCAAGGCCAGTGGTGGGAGCTGTTTGAGCTGGCTGCAACGGGCAGAAACTCTGTACATTCAAGTCGACTCAACATCGAAGCAGGCCCTAATTGAAGCAGGTCAGGGATGGTTTTGCTGGTCTCAACATTTCTTGAGCTGTCTTTATTAGGTTGGAGGCCGTCGCTCTGAGGTTGGAGGCCATTGCCATTAGGCTCTTGTCTCGCTCGTTGCAGGGAGTGGAGCCCTTCGACGAGCACACCAAGCGCCGAGAGGGTGTCTTCTACCGCCGGGAGTGGGGAGCCAAAGCTGTGACATCCATCTGTCTGCACCTGAAGACACTGGTGTTGTAGGTGCCGTATGCAGGTGAGCATATGACTCAGCTCAGCCGAATCTCACCACTTGGCGACCGTTTTGGAAGTCGTGACCTTCTTCAAAGAACTTGGTTGAAATGAATTGGTTTAAGGGAAACTCATTCTACAGGAAACAACCGTTTTCACCTCCAAAAAGGATGGGTGTCCTGCAGAATTTCCCTTAAACCAATTCATGGATTGGTTGTTTCGAAAGAGCTCTTTTCTTTTTGGTCAACGAGGTGCAGCTGGCCAATCGATGTGCCCTTGAACCACGACGGCTCTGTGTTCGCGCGCATGTCTGTGGAGAGCTCAGTGGTTCCAAAGACGCTACACATTGCAGGCGTTGTTCAGTTGGTCATTTTGCTGTTGTAGTCAAATTAAACGCGTGTCCATATTTGGAAGAACAAACACGCAATAATGGTCATCCTCAGCCCCTGTTGGTATGGGCTGGAGTTTCCTGAAATTGAAGCTGATGAGCTTTGGAGCCCGGCTGGTTAGGGTGTACGCAGCAGCAGTCTTCTGGTTCCGAAACAGATCCGTGATCCTGTATTTACAGCATGCATCGAAAGGTCTTCGGTTTGCACCCAAACTAGGGAGACCATCACCACCACTGGGCCTTTTTTTCTTGCAGGTTTGGTGACGCCTGTGAGAGACCATGCACTGGATGCGCCCAAAACCATGCGCCAATTCATGCAGATGAATCATCCGATGAATGCACGTGCGCTTGGTCTCGGGGGGCTTCAAGAGTTCGCAGTTCAGTCGCTTTGGAATCCCCGGGACCCCTTCGCCGGTTCCCACGAATGCTCGGAGCTAGCTGGAATTCCTCGCGAGGTGAAAGAGTTGGCGGACCTGGACATCCAAAAGCTCTGCGATCGCTTGGGCTTGAGGTCTGGCGGGAGACCGGAGACGGCGCGGGCGACGTACCGGTGTTCGCCAGAAGCACCCGGCGAAACGCAGGTTGGCAACGGTTCACGGGGTCATGGGGGAGAGGTAGACCATGAGACATTTTATTGTAATTACAGTAGGTACTCTTTGATACATTTTCTCCCGGAATTTCCACACATTTCCACACATGAATTTCCACACATGGCATGGATCTGAAAACATCGTTGATCTCAAATTCTCATTGCCTGCAGATCTCTCCTTTCGGTCCCAGAAAGTGATCGATTCGCCTCGCCGCCGCAAAGCGGGCGCCGGGCGCCGAGTCGCCGCAGCGCTCAGACTCCGAGCTGACGGTGACGTTCAGATGGAGTGGAAAAGCGTTGATGCAGTGGCAGCTTAGCTTAGCTGAAGAGAAGTAGGACACTTCACAAACAGTGGTAGGACACTGAAGGCCCGTGCTGGCACAGCGCTTGCTGGAAAGATACACACCGATGTTGATGTTGATGAATGTATGTGTGTAGCTATACTGCATACAGTATAATATAGTATCAGGTAGGTTCAAAGCACTTGTCGAGAGTAAGCCTTGCCGGCCTCGGTGTGGTACCTACCAGGTCTGGACTTGATGTTCCGGAGACCAACAAACTAGTTCCTGGCCATTCTACGAATCATCATAGTACTCTGAGATTTTCTGTTTGTAACGTTTAAAAGAAGAAAAAACCAACAACCGCCTGTGTGATATGAGGTGCTCGACGGAATGGTCACACCCAACGTTGGTGTCAAGCTGAAGACCCTCTTGGACGTGCCCACAGGCTGCGAAATCGGCAAAACCGAGCAAGGCCAAAGATGTTGATGCCCTGATCCGGTTTCCTTGGTCTCCACCACTGATTTGTTGGTAGGCCCAACTGCTGGTTGGTGTGCTTTCTTACTGAGTGAAGCTCAAAAGGCCATGGGCTGCAGTTGTAAAATGCCAGGTGTGATTTGCAAAGCTGGACCCAATGTCCCTGAAGGTGTGCGGAGCTCAAGGTGTGGTGGAGTGTTTCTGTGTGTGTGTGTGGGGCAAAAGATAGGAAGATAGCTGCCTTGGTCCTTAGTACTGCCCTGATTGGGCACTTTGTGTCTCTCTTTCTGCCTTTCCCATTTGGTTTTGCTTGCCTTGGTATTGCCTTGAGAGTGATACTCGATGTGGCTTCACGGCACACTTCGAGAGATGATGTTCACGGCGCGAGGAACAAAGATGCTTGAAGTCTATTGGCCATGCAGTCAAAGGACTTATATCTAAGTCCTTTGCATGTCAGGCCTGAATAGGACCTATAGGACACAATTTCTTGCTCAGCAAGCCTTTTGGCATCCACCTCTCGCAAGATACCGAGCCAAATCACATACCTGTTTCGCATTGAAGTCTTGGCGCTACAAGACGGCGCCAACAGCCAGGTTAGACAGAATTGCACAGGTAGGAACAAGCAGGGCTTTCAAACTCCGAAAGTACCTTCAAACCTTTTAACCAGGTTCCACGCTACAAAATTCCCCGAAGTTTGAACATGGTGAGGCGCCGGCTCTTTTTTTGATGTGCCGTTAAACCTTTGCGCCGAGGCAACTGTGATGGTGACTGCCGCAGAGGCAGCCAAAGGCGCAGCTGAACTTTTCCCAGCTTGTTGGATTGCTAGACGTTGATCTACTGGACCCCATCCAAGTCGTTCCGGCTGGAGTAGGTCAAAGAGTCTTGAGATTTTCTGAGCCAGTCGCTCCGTTGCTTTGGGCTGCTTTCACCTCCAGGTGACAAGATGTCCACAACTTAGAAGCTGCAACGGTCTTCAGATCTTCAATCAGTGACTTCTTTGGTGCTGCAGTAGACTTCTGTTGTATGAACAGATGACCCGTAATTGCAGGTGGGATCGGGGGCCAGGCTTCGCCAGGCTTTGTCTGAACATGACCCGCGAATCGGGGTCCTGCCAAGCGACATCCCTTTCGACCCGCGAATCGGGGCCCAAAGCACCACGCTTTTTGCCATCCAAACCCGGTTCCAAGACGACCTGGCTACTGGTGCGGGCCGGTGTGGGTGTTCATGGGTGTTGTTTTTGGGGGTATTTGCTTTCTTTTTCCTCAACCAACTTCAGCAACTAAGGGACGAGCGATTGGGTGGCTATGCCATCGTTTTTGATGGTGAAGAGTCCGAGGACGGCCGCTGCGGCGCCACCAACCTAGTTGGCTAGCCCATATATACTCATTCAAAGACGTAGATAGCGAAACGCTGAAGAGCTCAAGCACATGACGCTGTTCCTCTTTGTTCCTATTGGATTTACATTCCCTCATATCCTTTATCACTCCAAGATAGTCGTTCTAGCAATGGCAGGAGATGATGTTGGATGCTATCAACAAGACGTCGTTGGCTTCTCACTAGACCCAGTGACCAGACGTCGTGGGCTGCACAGGTTCAGACGGCCTTCTGTCTCATGCCGCTCAGGCCGAGGTTTGCGCTCTTGAAGCCCAATGCTAGACATGGCAGGACTGGCCGGGCTGCAGCCTAGATGTTTGCAAGCGACCCGAACCGAAGGTTATTGTATTGCACGATGTAGCACGTGAAGCTGTTGATGCTGTATGCTGTTGTGCATTTGTTTATTCAGAACTGCTTTGGTATTCAATCTGCTTCGTGCAGGACGTTTGTCTCTAGAAGGCCTTCTGCGTCATGTTTGTGGGGGGGAGAGAGGGCGATTCAACTGGTAACTGTCAACCGTTTCCCTTTTGTGCAGAGTGCACTTCAAGAACGAGGGTAACTCCCGTTTATAGGGTTTGTGACAAACGAGCATCCAGTGGCACAAGGTCCTTTCATGTTAGACAGACTCTAGTTGGAATCTTCTTGAGCATCGAAGGGCCACAAATATCCTTGTACTGTAACATTCCCCGATTCTGTCGCTGTTGTGGGTGTGTTCCGCAGCCGCTGGTTTGTTTTTGTCTGTTTGGGTGGATTGATGCCGATTCACCGCGCAGGTTTTTTGCCAAGCTCAGTCAGTGCAAGAGTTCGGTCTGATCCTCAGATCCTTCATCTCGGCCGGCCAAGACCCGCCCAGCGACACGCGCGACATGCGCGGGGTGCGGCGCACCCAATAACGGGTTTGGTGCGCTTGGGCTGCTTCTCTTCGTGGCCGAGCCTCACCGTGTTTTGCATGGACTTCCAGGTGCCGGTGATGCTTTGGTTCGAGTATCCCAAGGAGACCGGGGGGGTGAAAAAAGGCGCCGATTTGGCTGACCTTTTGGGCGGAATAGGTCGATGTTGAAGAGGTCACTGAGTGCGGGAGAACCTTCCTCAAAGATCTTAAAGGGAAACAACCCCCATGGTCACTGACCAAAAATATGGTGTCCTTTCATTCTCTTCCCCTATTGAGCCTGCATCAACCATGGACCACCATTGGCGGTTTGTTGTGTTCTCTGGGCTGTTCACTTGTCACTGCGCAGGAAGATGGCAAGGACCAAGACGACGTTGTGCGCACCCTTGGAAGATCAACACTAGCTTCCCACTCCAAGCGTTCGCATTCTCAGGTCGTTGATGCATCTGCAGACTTCGGTAGTCTTTTTGTGGATGCTCAGCGGCAGATGATGCGCAATGACACAGTAGAAGAAGAGGTCACAATATGTCACAATGAGGCCACCGACACATTTGCCTAGCTGGCTCATTCTAAGGATGGCATGGGTGAAGGACTTCTGTGGGATGCAGAGGCGAGTTGTTGACCTCCCATACTGCCACTGGAGAGCTTGGGTCTTGTACATCATTCTGGTCCGACTTGTTCGCGGCCAGAAAGGATGCTTTGCAGCCAAACCCATCGTGTTATTTCTGGTCAGCAAACTCGCATCTCTTGGCTGCAGCCTTCGTGTTTTGGACGACGGCTCTTGAATCCATTTCACCTCCAGTGCCCTGCCAAAGGAGCTCTCTGCTGACATGCTGCGGGAGTCTTCCTTCAACCTCTTGCAGGTGGGTCCTTGGCGCGGGCTGCACTGTTCGGAAGATCTGAAGCACTCGTTATGAGACTCGTATGATATCCGATATTAGATGTAGGGCAGCTAAGGCTTCCCTTGGAAGTGGCGGATTCATTGAGTCAAGTCAAGCGAAGTTGTCAGTCATCAGTCATGCGCCGCAGTCCAAGGCAGGTCATCCGCCAACTCAAGCGAGTCTTTAAGTAGCAGATTGGCCAGGCCTCCCGTATGCGAATCTCCAAGACGGAATTCATCAGCTGTCCTTCCTGCGGACGGACCTTGTTCAACCTGTCGAAGACTTGGAGATTTCTTCCTTCCGGAAAAAAAAAACAGAAAAAGAGCAGAACAGAAGACTCAGTCAACCTTCCAGAGGGCTTCCAGTGAAATCCGGTTTCCCACCGAATCCATTCCGTCGGGTTTTGAAAGCACTTTCCGACCTGAAAGGGCCGCCCATTTCATGGATTCCTCTGAGGCAGGAGACCACTGCGAAAATCCAGGAGCGAACTGGACATCTCCCTGGTGTCCGAATAGCCGTCATGGGTTGCATTGTGAATGGGCACCAGCCTTAGAGGAAGTCAGATTCAGAGCCAACAGGCCAAGTTGGCTTAGGCGACTAGTAACTTAGGTGGGTCTTTTGTAGTAGGCAACTGGCACTGGTCGAAGCTGGGCAAGAACAGGACTGGGTGGTTCTCTGATTTGGGGAGTTAGGCGAAGACGGAGTGAAGGAGATTCCAGGAGATGAAGGACCGGAAGACAATGGAAGACATGTTGTGTTTCCTCATGTAAGAATGTTCCTTGCCGCCAGCCTGAGGCCCGGAGAAATGGCAGATGCAGATTTTGGCTACGTGCAATGCTTAGTGCACAGGAGTCGCATAGGGGTTTATTCAAATGGGAGTCTGTGGAACCCCAGAAAGGAAGCTTGGGGATAGCAGGGTCTCTATCAGGTGGTGAGTTCCAAACATCTCTGTTTGACGTTATAAATTTTCCTTGAGGTTGGCAGCGGTGTTGGAAAGTGTGGACCTCAGACTCAACAGGGCTTGGAGCCGTCTATCCGTTGCAGAAACTCCGAAACCATGGACCCAGGGTGGATCTCTACGTGAAATACGACTGCGTCAAGAGAGGGATTCCCTCAGAGAATGCCGTCGAGGCTGAGAGAGCGGTTTTCAGAACTCGTTCCCTCTGTCTACGGCGTAGACACGGTTTGCAACTCACAGGGAATGAGACTGGCTGGAACCAATTGATCTCTCTTTTTTGGGCGAAGCTTCCCGAAGCTTCCCTACGAGTCGCAGCAGTCAGCTGTCTATGCTTTCTCCACGGCCTACAGCTCTATGATGTTCTGGCCATGTCTTTTCTCTTTCAGTTGATGATGTCCATCTTCGTCTCGTCGTCTCACAGGCACTGGTGGACCTCATCAAAGAGTCATCGCCTGAGCGAAATGGTTCGGTCCCTCGTTCGGTACGTGGGGACGTCGATGTCGGGGCGTTCGACGTGTGCAGGAATGATCGCTGGACTGAGCCAGCGGATGCAGAAGATGTGGAGGCCGAGGTCGCCCAAGTTACGGCCGGTAGGGCGAAAGCGGCCGCGAAACGCCCACCACTGGCTGACTGGAAACGGATGTAGTTTGGCAAGATGGACTGATCACCTTTGTGGGAGATGCTGGGAGTTTCTTTCTTATTTTGCAACACACTCAACTCCCATCAACTCCTTAATTCATCTTAACTGCTGGAAAGAACTCACAAGAGCATGCGCGCCAAGAATGTTGAGAGGAGAAGACTAAAATGGAGGATACTAAAACAAGGTTCCTGTTGAGCTCATTTGCCCACCAATCCTCAATCCAAGCGTCCTGGAAAGGTTGAACATGCCGCCAAAAGGGGCAAGGCACCCCCTTCAACTGCCATTCTTTTCGGCCTTGGGCCTTGGAGCTCGACTCAATCGGGTGAATGCAGTCCACTCTTGGACTCCAAATGAGGAGTTCCTCAAAGAGTTCCTTTCTTATAATTTTTCTTCCAACTTAGAAGAGCCTTAAGAAAGGAAAGGCGTCATGTCCCTGCCAGGTCGGAGCTGTGGCAGTGCTTTGAGACGCCTTGGCCCTGCCAGGTCGTGCCCTTTTGAGCTCAAAGCACACAAGCTGTCACAAGCTGCAAGTAGGTCTCATCAGGTCCTTCTCGTAAGGAAGGACGGGTTCAACTTGGATTCTCCAAACGAGACCAAACACCTACAAACCCCGCGATTGATCTAGAAGAGACATGAGAGAGATTGAGAGAGCATTTTGCATGTTTCTATTTGTTTCTTATTTTTGCTGCCAAGCTTTGAGCAACTCTCGTCTTTGGCTTCGGGCGATCACCCGTTGCTTAGAAGACTTCCTTTCTCCAGCTGAAATCCCACCTCCGGTAACCACTACCGGTGTCGAAGATGCTTGAAGAAGGCCATTCAGCCACCAATGAAGTAGCATGTCAGATAGACAGTCCACCAAAAAGTATGTTGCTCCCTTTCTCTATTCTGGCGAAGCTTATAGTGCTTCCATGGTGAAACATGCTGAATGATCAATACCAAGCAATGGTGCCTTCCTAAAGTTTTCCACTTGAAGCATGCACAACCTCAGAGCCAGAGCTATCAAGAAATCGCTTCGGTCTTAAGTCTCAATTGGGATTTCAGCGCATGTCATTCTGTGAGCCCAGTGCCAGTTGCAGCGTGACCATTCGTGGAGCTGCGCGGCATCGCTTTAGCAGGGCTACCAGAGAGCCACCCGTTCGCTCAACGAAGTTTGTGAAAAGTCGGACTTGACTGGGTGTCTCAAAATAGGAGATAGAAGGAAACCACAGGAAAATCCAAATACCCCGGAATTGTTGCAAAACTGGTTGTGTGACCCATCATTTTGAGACAGCCTTTGCCTGCACTCAAGCGAGCAGCTGGACCACCGTGCCACACACATGTTCCTGGCTGAGCAAAACGCTAACTGGGTTCCTGCTTGAGCCCAGGAGCCACATTGAATCACCATGATGTTCCAGTGACACGGCATGTTCCCAAACTTTTTGGCTTGAGTTATACCCACCTTGGGCATCTTCCCAGCGCTGGTCTCAGTTTCCTTATTTGTAAAAGTACGTGCACGAAAGAAAGACCCTTGCGGCTGAGGCAGGGCAAAGTGAATGCCTGAGACTGCATTGTAAGAATGGCCTCAGAGGACCGCCTTGCAGTACAGACCTCATGTGAGGAGATGTCCCCAAACCAGGCAGGGCCGGCATGAGCATCCTGCCTTGCAGGACATCGTTCGGCAAGAGCGCCCTGGTGGAGCTATCGCATCGCCATGTTGTTTCAAACCACAAGATGAACACTGGGGTGCTGGCATTTAGAGGTTGTGAAAGATGGGCGTTTTTGATCATCCCTGATCCTGACATCGCGATTATGTACTAGTGTGGGCCTGTGCTTGCAGTGCAACGGGGACGTTGCAGGGCTGCGCTGCATAAGGCTATCACTCGTGTCGCAGTTGTTTATGGTTGACAGAATAGAATAGATGGCCTTTTAACAGGTCTGCTTCTGGTTTAGACGCTGCCTGCCCCAGAAGGGTGTTAGAGTGCACATTGGTTGTGATGCAATGCGATGGTCGAAGAGGATGGCCAAGCTGCTGCCAGTTCAGGAAAGACCCCCTGACCGGTTGCAGCCTGTTGCAGAGTGTCGCCAAAAATCGTTTGGGGAATGAGTGATGAACTCTCTTCACTGTGGCGAATCATTTGCTTAAGGACACTTGGCATTCTGAAGAAGAAGAGGGTTGAGGATCGATTCTGTGTTCTATACAAGGACCGGCTCCCGTCGGAAGGCACTCCGTCATCGCCGCCATCGCCTCGATTGTCCTGTCCTCCCGTTCCCACCAGGATCGCCTCGATTACTTCACCTCCGAAGAAGCTGCGAAGTCGGAACAGCCACGGGGCCGTTTGGCTCTCAAGGAGGTGGACAGCATCCAGGCGCTGAGAGGTCCCGGTCCCCATGCGGTCCCGGGTTGTCCCGCGGTGGGACGGTTCGGTGGCGGTGCAAATGGGTTTAGTTCTGTTCTTCTTCAGGTGACGAGACCAGACGGAGACCCCCACTGAAGCGGTCATAACATCTGGTTTGCAATTGGCGAACTTCAGTGTGCAAGGACAATGAAGATGGCTTCACTCTCAAGCTCACATCAGGCCAGACTGATTTGCCTCGTTCTAGCACTTGAACTGTTGCATGCCGATTGCATGCGTGTCATCTCCACAAGAAGATAGGCCTACAGGAGCCGTTAATTCATCATTTGTCAGTGTTGCAGTAAGCTGAATTTTTAACTCACCGGGCAAGTTCCTAAGGGTCCTAAGCACCTGCTCTTCGCCTTTGAGAGATCGTTGGAGCCCGATCCGCGCGATCGTTTGGAAGGTCAAAGCCTTGCCCTGAAGACGTCCGAGGAGTCAAAGCAGCAGTGGTTGGCCTCCTTGGAGCCTCTGTGCTGCTGGCAGCTTGAACGCTTCGGCAAAGAAGCCGGTGTTGGGGCCGCCAGAGGATAGATTTATGATTTATCATGATTTATGCACCAGCAGTCACAAAGGGGTGCTTAATGGAGGGTACGGGCAAATTATCCACTCACTTAGGTGACTGCTGGTAGATGCTGTGGAGTTGTGTTTGTCTTTTTCCTTTTGCTCTTTCCCACGAAGAGAAAGCTTAGACTTCTCTAGAATTAGGACCCATCCAGTTGTCATTCCGTACGGAATATCCGCAAGAATGTTGGAATGGATCTGCAGCTGACAATGCCAGGCTAAAAGTAAACAAGGCAGGATTTGCATTGCAGAGATTTGGATGCTGCTCACTTGCTTTCGTAAGTCTGTGAAAGATCGATGCATGTTTGAGCTTGTTTGGACTGGCTTTTGACTACCGCCCGATGATCTTCCACAGGTCTCTGACAGCCAAACACAGCATGTGAAGAACAGCCCTTCAGATCCTGATCATGCCTTTCCACTCAAACTCACAGCAAACCAGATATCACCTTGAAGCAACCCAACCACCGAAACGCAGCCCAACGACCACCGAAACACCACAGTGCCGAAACACCCTCGCCGACCCACGCGGAGCAACGCCGCCACGGCCACGGACGCCATGGACGCCCCGGGCCGCCGGCGTGGGAGGCGGCAAGCGGATGAAGATCGCCGGGCCGAACGCACGCAGGTGGGCCAAGGGTGTGATGTGGTGGTGGTTTCTGGAGTTGGAAGACTCGGACGAAAGAGAGCAGTTTTGGCAGTTTTGATGGTGATTCAACCACGAACAGCGACCGAATTGGCTGTCTTTTCATAGCACTAGTACCAGGCTTTTCGATAAGGAAAACCAGGTTTTGGTAAAAATGAGTGTGGGTGAAGAAATACCCCAAAACAGGCCCCACACATCGGGAGGTTGACCCTGCAGTCCATTGGTCCGGTGGGACTAGAGTTTTGATGTGACATCTTCAGCACTGTAAGTGAGCCCTGTAAGTCTTCACACAGGCACCGGTGGGGCGAAGATCAAGCTTGCTTTCTGCTATCTGAGCACATACATAGGATCGATTGAGTCTAGAGTCTAGAGGCGCTTACCCTAGACTCTTGAGCGACTCTTGGGACGTGTGCCCAGGTCTTTCAGAAGACAAAGACGCTTGGTCATGAAACAGACACTCTTTGGTGTTTTTCTAGTCATCCCATATGGCGCTTGGAATCCATTGGGCCTCAAAGGAGGTCTGTCACGGCAAATCCGCTGGCCAAGGATGTGCAAATTCCACCAAATGGGTAGCTGTCAGTGCCCAAGCTGCATGAATGCATGATCACTGAGACCGGCCCAGGGCTTCCACCCCCCGTTTGCGGAACACCAAGAAGTTGACGTTCCGCCACTCACGTCGTCCAATGTCGTTTGCTCAAGGTCTCAGTGGACCGAACGGTGTGCCCCTTCTGGTCCAGAATCAACTCCAAGGAGTCAAATTGGTTCCAGGTTGAGAAACTGAGTAACCTGGAAGGGGGGGGGTTGGTCAGGGGTTGAGAAACAAGGTTGGTCAGGGGTAACGGAGTCTGCAGGTTGATCAGGGGTTGATTCCTTGATGTCTTCTTCCTTTGTTCCAAGGAGAGGTTCAGACTGCCGCTTTGCCCATGACCAATGACACTTGGCTGCAACAGCAACCAAACCACTTGTTGAGCTGCAGCAGTGGGGTGTGAGCTACAGCAGTGGCTGCTTCCCGGGAAGCGACTGAGGTGAGCTCCAGCACTTGCCAGATCTAGCCCGCACCAAGATCTGCAAGACGCTGCTGCAAACTGGGCTTTGCGAGGATGTTTTTTCTGGTGTGAAACGTGAAACACAGCGATATCATCAATTCAGACTTTGACTTTGGAACCACCTGAACATGACTAACACAACTGCCCCAATATGAAGTCGATCCTTTGGAAAACACATCTCTATTGGGACTAAGTTTGCACCGTTGGACATGACTGGCCGGATGCTTTTCTGATGTTTTTGATTTGCCCTTGGAGGACCCGCATTGCTCTTATGCCCACAGCAGAGAAGAGTGCCTCGCCGGCGAAATCGCTTGCAGCTGGTGGGGGGTCGTGGTGCCTGGCGCCGTCGCAGATACGGGGAACCTGGATGACAGGTCCCGACTTGGACCCATTTCATTTGCCCTTTTTTCAACCACACCATTCTTTGGGCGCATGGGGCAAGACTGCCAGAAAGACGTTCAGGTACCGCGTGGTGCCTGGTTTTTCGGCAGCAGATCAAAGAGAAGCGGAGATGCAGCTAGTGCAGCTGGATCAGATGATGAGGACTCGGTTGCATGGAGATCAACTCGGGCTTGGAGATTGGCAGTTGGTGCGCTGGTAGGTGAGTTTGGTGAGTTTTGGTAGGCCCTATAGGCTTTTGAACCAACAGCTTGTAGGGCAAAGCAATTTAACGATTTTAAACGTCTCATCACATGAGGATTTCCAAGCATCTCTTGTCTTTTGTTGAGGATGTCGTTGGGTTCCAGAATTTCCTTCACTAACCGGCATCATCCATAGTTACTGATAATGGAAGAACTACCCAAGACAGTGGCAGATCTTTTCATCGGAGGACTGGCAGACTGCCCATGGAGGCAAGGCCTCCAGAGCCAAAGCAGGTGCGGAAGGAAGCGGTTGGGTGAGTAGCGGTGGACGGCTGTTCCTCACCTAGTTGTTTGTTTGCTGCTAGTAGTAATGCACTTGTTACTAGTAGCGTTGCACTTGTTACTAGTAGCAAGAAGCTACTCGTGGCTTGTTTGTTCTGAGTTTAGGTTCTGGCTGTTGACGTGTTCCTTCACTGTCTCTTTGCGTCTCACTGTCTCTTTGACTTGGCAACGCGTCTTAGCGTTGGCAATCGCCTCTATGCACCTGAAAAGTGTCGGGTTCCTCGGTTGCCACGGTTTAGAGGGCAGGAGACCTCGTTGGTCGCAGCGATTGCCACGGGCAAATTGGGTCACAACTTCGGTGACCTTGGAATTGCGTGGAGTCTATAGGGGCAGCTGTTGTTGGTCGCAGCGAGCCTGCTGTGTTTCGTGCGCACGGGATGTACACGATGCTTGGAGAGAGTCACTTTGACCTGCAGGTGAATGGACAGAAGCAAGCGGCACAGCCCATGTACCAGGCAGGAGGAGAACAAACAAGAAGTTGGCATGAGCCTGGGCGGAACCCTTGTCCAGCACTCTTATCATCCCTTATCATGGATTCCCTGCCCCAACGAGCCACAGCATGGACCATGAGTTGAGAAATTGAATCACCAAATTCACAAATTAATGGGCCGATCCGACCCCATCGGATCTTCGTTTCACTCGGAGAGGGTGCATGTGTACTGCGTTCCACCGATGTATTCCCACGAAGTGGATCTGAGCACCCGCACAGTCCCATCGACGCTGTTTGTGCTCAGTCCAATCTTCTATGTGGTACACCCGTGCTCTTCGTGCCACAACTTCAGTCCATGGTACCTGGGCAAAGAAGGGTGGACATCAAGAAGGTTGTCCCCCAACTCATCCCAGCCCCAAGCATATTTATATCACCTGTTTCTTTTGTTCTGGTATAGATTTGTGGAGGACCAGGTCGGGCGACTTCTAGCATGATGCCATGTTTTTTTTCAACCACTCGATTTTCTCAGCAAGGTCCTGACATGTGGGTCCGTTTGTGTCTTTAAACTTGAGACTAACGACTAACATACACGTCTTTTTTGACGGCACCGTAAAGCTCACATAAGTTGATGTACTGGGCTGGAGATCCCTAGGGCCTTCTCAGAACAGCACAATATCAAAAGACAAGATCCACAGAGGGAAGCAGCCACGGGGCCTTGAGGGAGCTTTGAACAAAGGGGGCATTCATTTTTGTGAGATGTTTGGCGTCCGGAGGAGAAACCGGCGGCTTCAGCCGCCTCATTTTTCGTCCGTGCGTGAAACTTGAGGTTTCCCAGGGTGATGCGTATCCACCGATTTTACCGCCGAACTCTCCAAGCAATGAGAAGAAAAGCGTCGGAGACCTAGCTTGCAGCTACTGGTAGACGTGCGCCATGCGACAGCGATCGGCGCTGAGTTTGGACTGTAGGCCGTGAAAGACCCACCCTTGGCTATGCACTCAGAGTGTGGCATGTGGAACAGCTCGCTCGCTATGGATCAACAGGAAGACCTAACCATGCATCAACGACGTGGCAGCAAAGTACTTGGTTGATTTTCGGAAGGGTTGTTGGTAGTACAGGTTGCTATATCAAGCAGCCAAATTGTCAAGCAGACCGTGAAAAGACACCTTGAAGTCAGCAAGATTGTTGCCAGGCTGCCAAGTGTTGTTTTCTTCTCGTAGCTTCTGACTTAGGCTCCGCAAATTCCCAGTCAACCTCATCTGGAGAACGCCATGCGACTGCAGGTGGGCAATCAAGTTGTAAAGCTGGGCAAGAGGCCGATGTATGAGAATATTACAGTACATACTCTGAACCTGTACACAGGACTGGTGTGAGCACTAACTACGCGTTTGTCGTTTGAGCATGGGGGACCAGTGTGGTGTAGCGTGTTTCATTTTCCGCACTATCACTATAGGACATCCGTTTTCTGCTTGACGGTTCCAAAGTGAACACCCTTTCCTCGTAGAATCCTGCAAGACATTTATAATGTCACCTGACATGGTTGAATTTCCTCCCTCCAAAGAGAGCGATCATTGGCCGTCCCACACCGGCCACACAACATGGACTTCTTAATTCGACCGCAGTTGATCCGCATTGATGTTGTAAGACCTGGCAAGAAGAAAACACATTCCTCCTAAAGTATGCTCGCCTGGTCCTGTTCGCCTAGATTGGTTTTGTAGCAACAGTTATTGCTGAGTTATTACCTGCGCTGCACACCCACTGCATGCATCTCTTCCTCCAGACTCTAGGAGCTTTTTGTGCCAAGAAAGTTCAGGTTTCCCCCTGTCTCAAGGTCCACCAGAGGTTTGACTCAAGGCGATGCCGCCATGCCCCCCCCAACATAATGTATTGCTGAATCCAGCCCAGGCCATGACTCAATTCATGCAGAATACAGCTGCAGGTGTCGTTCGTGGGATGCAGTCCGCAGTGGCCGTGGAGCATACCAACAATTTTGCAGCGTTTGAGTTGGTTCATGTGTAGACGGGCAAGAGAGTTCAGTGGATACTGCCTTTAAGAGCTAAGGTTTTGCACGAAAGCACGAAGGCACGTTTCAAACCTCCATCATAAAATATTACAGTACAAATATAGTTCAGTTCATTCTACTTGATCCACGTGCATTTTGGAGTGACATCAACCCTCTATTTGTAGGCCCAG